AAATACATGGGAAACATCTCAGTTAAAATATTTTGTGAAGGGTCCGTTTTCATGAAAAGATATTTTGTGAAGGGTCCGTTAACGAACCCAAATTTCTTCTAAACAGACCCCTGAATATATCATATTTTACACTGTCAGTAAACGGATGGAAAGCTCTGTGTCAGTCCTTGCCGAGTATGAGTTCGAGCTCGCTTTTTGATGGCCTAGCCTGAGATACATAGGATTACTTAAGAGCCATAGTCTCTCCCAGATGCACGTGAGATAAATGCCAAATTTTTCTGTCACGCTATTAGGCCTTTGATGCTTAAACAAGGAAACTGGTCCTTAAAATCTTTTTTAATTAATGAATTTAACATTTTTATACTTAATAACTGTACTAAATGTAGTAGAAAAGTTTAGGAAAATTTTAACCACGAGTCTGACAATTTTTCTCAGTAAACGAGCCATAGCTCGTCTCACCCATAGTCAGTTACCGATAACCGACGTGGTACTCAGCGAGTTAATTAAAAAATATATATATATTGCAGTGTTATATTACAAATGAAGTTATTTAAATTAAAATATAACAATTTGCATGATTTCTCCCATTATACCTTTTGAGGGTTAAATATGTAGCATTCTCATTTCGTAATGAAATTAAAAACCTTGATATTTAAAACTAACTTTTTTCACTCTTTTAAGCTGTTTTTCTTTTTCCCTTTAGCGTACAAAGACACGTACTAACGTACACTAGTAATAACTTTTCAGACTTTCAATTATTGCATTTGAAATGTGACATTGTTAGGCGCGAAGTATCTGTTTTGTTATTATTATTCGTATTGATGAAATAAACATTAGATGTTAATTTCAGGAATCCGAAAAAGATGCCATTCCTTATAACTTACGATCAATTGTTTTTATATAAAAATGTTAATATTACTTCCATAGCTTTAGTTGGAAAAAAATATAGAAATTGAATTCATAAAAATATTGTAAATAATAGTAGAAACAATCGCTTGCTTGTTTTATATTAGCAGTTTATTTTTTATTTTAGGATTCTGTCTGCATAAATTATTTAATGTCTGCATAATTGTCTGCATTAATAATATGCCGTTTGTCCTGCTTAAAGAAACACCGTAAGTTTAAAAGTGTGTTACATAGGGGGTACGGTAGACAGACTTATGTAATAATTTTACGATATTTAATTTGAAATAGTTTAAACTGTAACATTTCCTATGAATAACCAACTTAATCTGGTTAGTATATTTTCTTTTAATAATTTTATTTTATAACCAGCGTTTAACAACCGACCAAATTCTGAGTTTACCGAGTCTCAATGTTTAACTTCGAAACCTTGTAATTTTGAACTCAATCTAGAAGACAAGAGAGCTACTGGATCGAGCATTGGGGCAAACTAACCTTCGTGAAGGACTTTTTTGATGGAACTAACCAGCATTTGCGTTACATGGGGAGGAAAACCTCCCACGGTTTGTCCGACTGTAAGGGTTCTCATTAGGAGTCTCAATCACTTGAGCCACCGCTGCTCTTTTAATATTAATCAGAGTAGAATTGTTTCTGACGCATTATAATTAACTATTTAAAACAAAGAAGCATGTATGGAAAATAAAAGCGACCCGTGGGCAATGCTGACCACATATCCACCATCATGTCGTTGGTCGCGAAATTGTGAAGCTTTAACCTCCATGACCACCTGCCTCACAGCGGGCTGTTGTGGGAATACTTCATTGGGTT